GTAATAGAGATCTGTCATTATATAGATAACAGCTTCTTCATCTTTCATGTTATACAGCTGAGCTTGTGAGTCAATTTCAAATACAAACTTGTAAAAGCTTTTATAGATTGTGATTCAATAAGTGATCTTAAGTAGTTATAACTTAAGAAAGTTTCTTTTCAGTTCACAGATGTCTCTGAAGATCATGTCTAGAGACTCAGTTTAAGAGTGTTTACAGATAGTAAGCATTTCTTATAGAAAAATAGCTTGATTTCATAGAAGATGCTCAAGAATATTCTTCACTAAGATTGATTCATTTATGAGTTCAGAGAGTTTCTCTGTCATAGATGTAGAGAATGATATTCTGTAAGTAATTGATAAGTTCTCTAAGACTTCTTTTATAAGAGTTATTCATAATTCAGATAACTGCTTCTGAGTGTCTGCAGTAGAGTTTGTAGAGATTGAAGCATGCAAGTTTCTAGTTCTTTCAGTTATAACAGGTGATTACTGACTATCTGAGCTTGAAATGTAAGAATAAGTACTCACAGATGATTATTTAAGTGTTTGCAGCTTAGTGTGATATGTACTGTTAACTACTAGAAGTATTCACAGTAGAAAGATAAAATGTAGAGATTAAATATATAATAGTATTCAAGCTGAGTTATGAATAGTATTCGCGAACTCCAGTCTATATAGTTGTGTGTAGTCAAGGGCCGCTAGCTCTATTGATTACACGAGAGATAGGAATAGAGGTAAAGAATCCGCAAGAGGCGGGATTTCTTACGGAAGAGAAGAGTCAAGTCAGTAGACTTATAACTGCAAGCTTAAAAAGAAGAAACTCTCAACTATCTAAATCCTCAAACTTCAATTCTTCAGCTAAATGTAAACAGAATTTGAATTCTCAAACTTCTGTTAAGATTAGAGAATTGAGAAATGACTCTGATGATAAATTAGATATAATACAAGCAGTTGAGATTCCTACTTTTCAAAATAGTTATAATCTACTATCTGATAATAGTGACTAGATTCTACTCTATCTCTACTCTCTTTTAGTATGAATATACAACAAAAACAACAAAAAAAGTTTAAAAACTCTTCAAAAATTACATTTATTCAAAATAATGTGAATAGAAACTCAAATTGTATTTATTCTTATCTTCAAATTGCATTTGAATAAAAAGTTGATTTTATACTACTTCAGAAACTAAATTTTGATGCTGAGCAAAATTACATCATTTCTCATTCAAGCTACTACTGCTTTCTATCTCAAAAGTCTGAGATAAAGTCAAGAGTAGTGATCTATGAAAGAAAGAGATCAAGATATCAGTTTAATCTAAGATTTAATATCATGTCTGACCCTGATATTCTGGTGAGTGATATTATAGATAAAGAAAATGAGTTTGATACTATACAGCTTATAAATATCTATAATGAAAAGTCATTGAAGAAAAATAACAATATCTGAATAATTGATAGAGAATTTCTGAACATAACTTTATTAAGAAACTCTATAATTGCAGAAGATTTCAATGCACATTATCTCTGATGAAATTCAGAATATAAGAGAGCAGTGAGAGCTGATAATCTGATTGAATAAATCTTTAAGTATTCAATAGATTTGATTAATAAGTCTGATCAACAAACATTCTTAAGAAAAGACATGAAACAGAAATCTATTATAGATCTAATCTTCATGTTATAAAATCTAATGAAAAGAAGACTTATAAACTGATTTATTAATTTAAATAAGATATCAGAATCAGATTATGAGATTATTCAATTTGATATTAAACTGAGTGAAAAATAAATGAGTGAAAATTCTCTTCTCTCTAATTAGTTTAACTTTGAAAAAGCTGATTGAAAAGCAGTTAAAGAAAGTATAAAACTGTTAAAATCTGAAAGACAGAATGAGCTATATTGAAATTCTGATCAAGATATCTCAAATGAAATGCTTAAGAATAGAGTGAAGCTTATTACATCTATTATTCTAACAAGTGTTAGAGAGAATATTTTAAAGAGAAAATCTTCTAAGTATTTAAAATCTTGATGAAATGAGAATATCTCATTTAAAAGAAAAGAATTAGCTACTGTTAGAAGAGATTAAAAGAATAATGTAATATCTGATGAAGAGTTCAAAGCTGTCAGAAATGAATATTTTTCAGATATTAAAAGATCTAAAACAGACTGCTGAAATAAATTTCTTGAAGAAGCATAAGAAAAGAAAGTTTTTAAAGCTTTTAACTATACTAAAACAAGAAGTGTAGCAAAACTTCCAGTCTTAGAATATGAGTTTCAGAATGAATCATATACAGTAAACTCTTTTGAGAAAAAATGTTAAGCTTTTATGAGAATTCTCTTTCAGAACTCATCAGATTCAGATTCAGATTCAGAGAAAGAGAATATATCATATCTTAACTGCATTGATGAAAATGACAGAGAATGACCTGATCTTACATAAGATGAATTAGAGTCAGCTATCTTCTTAAGTTCTGTTAAGACTGCTGCAGAGCCTGATTCAATTAATCACTTGATTATTCAAAATACATATTTGTACTTAAAGAATGAATATTTTGAGCTCTTTTTCAATCTCTTAAAAAATGAATATTATTCTGAATGCTGAAGAGAAGTCACTGAAGTGATTCTTATAAAATCTAATAGAAAAACTTCAATTTCTAAGTCATATAGAGTAATATCTCTATTGAACTGTCTAGAGAAGGTTTTAGAAAAGATAATAGCTACTCAACTATCTTTTATAAGCTCTATAGATAATTCTCTTTTATTCAGTGAATAAATGAAAGATAGAAAACAATATTCTGCAATTGATACTGTTCTCTCAGTTGTTCATAATATTTAAATAGCAAAGCATGAAGATCTGGTCTCAACTGCAGTTTTTATTGATATAAAGAAGCATTTAATCATGTTTCAAAGTCAAAGTTAATTCAGATATTAAAGATGTTAAAACTGCTACTTTCTCTAATAAAATGAGTTAACTATTTTATATGTAAAAGAATTATACAACTTTTCTTTGATGAAATGAAATAAGACAAGACTGAGATAAAAATAGAAGTGCTGTAAGAATCTTTAATCTCACTCATTTTATTTATAATATACACTGTATATCTATTCAAAGATAGAAATATGAAAATAGTGCAATTTTCAAGTTATGTAGATGATATTAATCTAGTCTACAGCTTAAAAACTATTAAAGAGAATTTGAAAGTGATTGAAAAAGCTATAAAGAAAATTCTTGTCAGAGTAGATATCAATCAAATTTAATTTAATATGAATAAAACTGAGTTAATTCATTTCTTTGCTAGATTCAATGAGAAAGAACTATCTCTAACTCTTTTAAATAGAGAGATTAAACCCAGTTTAAATATCAAATGATTAGAAGTATGATTAAACTCCAAGTTGAATTTTAAATATTATATTTAACAAAGAAGTGTCAAGACAGAAAGACTATTGAATAACATTATCAGACTATTAAATACAGAGAGAGGTCTATTCTTCCAGACTATGAGACAGTTATATATAGCTTGTATTAACTTAGTAGCTGATTATGAAGTTCAAGTTTGATGAAATAATCAAGAAAATTTCACTGAACTCTTTCAAAGTCTGTAAAACAGAGCTTTGAGAAGAATTCTGAGAGTATTTAAATCATCTTCTATTAAAGCAATGAAAATTGAAGCTTCAATTCCTTCTTCAGCTATTAGATTTGAAAAAGTCTGTATGAACTATGCACTAAGAGTTATAAAGATGAGCTCAAATTATATAATCAGAGAAAGAGTCTCTTCTTCATTTTCATCAATTAACTCTGAAAATGAACTGAATTGAAATAGATTTCTTGATTGAAATGAAAATAATTCTTCAAAGAAAATGTCTTCTCAACTTTACAGACTATACTCTCTGATTAAAAATCAATTTTCTTCTTTAAATATTGAAAAAGTGAATCATGAGAAGTTATCTCTCTGAAGAGAAAAGCTTGAATCTCTTATAGACTTATAAATAAGTGAACTATTAAAAGAGAAAGAATATGAACAGCATTTAAAGAGAATTTCTACAATTAATATAAAAAACTCTATTCTGATTTATTCAAATGACTTAAAAAATGAGAATCTGAATAGATTAGATACAGGCATTGCTTATACTGAAGATAATATCAACTTTATCTCAGATTTCTGAAATTTAGGCTGTGAATCTGAAGTCTTTAATACTGAACTATTTACAATAGTGAAAGCTTTCAAACTCATAGAAATAAAATCTTATAAAAGAGGAAATAGTTTGAAAGAGATATGAATATTCTCTGATAGTCAAGCTACTTTAAAAAGCCTTAGAAATAGTCAGATTCATAATAATAAAATGAATCTTGAACTGATCTTAAACTCTGTTTTGAAAATTCAAAGAAGAAGAATATCTGTCACGCTCCCCGGCCGCGCCAAGGCCCTGCTGCGGTTTCACACGGCCCATCACTTCCATGCGGATGATTTCATCCATCCCGCAGGCTGACTGAACCGGTTTCCAACCACTCTATGACATCATTCAGATATATCATAGAAAGATCTGATTGATGAATATGAGAACCCCGCTTCTATATGAGGTCAGCAGATTACTCTTCCTTGGCAATGAGATGCCGCTGAGGTATCGCTTCAGCTATTCTCACTTGTGGAATGAGAGAAGGGTATCTGCTCATTGTCTATATAGAATAGCTAGATGCTGGCTTCTCATTAAAGAAGTCAGTGATTTGTTTCTTTTTCTTCTACTGAAATATATATGAGAGTTACTGCATACATTATACAATCTTCTTAGTATACTAAGTATCATATCTGTGATATTCTTGCAATAACCCTGTAGTCTACAAGCTCACTATTTAAGCAAGATAGTCAAGCTCACTCATACAGGTTCTCAAACAACTATCTCTATATAATGTTATCAACTAGTCATCACTTCAGTTCTGTCATGTTACAATTCAAATTGCTTAATCTGATTATACATTTGAATCAGTCAAGCTCTAACAGACTGATATGATCTCATACACTTACACTGAGATCAACCTGATCTCACTCTCTGAGGGAAACACTACATTATTCTCTAAAGTGCATACACCTCTATTCTGGCAGGAATCTGAGATTTCTGAACCTGCTGCACATTTTGACATGAGCTCTTCAACTGCTCTGCCACCGCCGCGGCCTCTACACACCTACATCTATTATGAAGATAGAGAGATTAAGGTCAGAGATTCACTGAGATATAAGAAAAACATCTTGTCTGAATTTCACAGCTTTATCTGTATTCTTGAACAGAAATTCTGCCTTAACCTGAGTCAGTATAATACTCATGAGATATGAGTAATATATACTGCTAACCTCCTTGAAGGCACCTCTGCAACTACTTGAGTCATTAAGAAGAGAAAGCTTGAGTGTATCAATACTGTCATGACTTGAAAAGAATTCAAGAACTTTCTACTGAATCAAATTGAAGATCACTGCAACTGCAGCTTCACAGCAGCACAGCAGTTCAACTCATTATATCAATGAGATGATGAGAATTCTTTCAATTTCAATATAAGATTTAAAGAATATTGAGAGAAATTAACTGATGATTTGAATCAATTAAAAACACAGCTTTATCTCATAAAGCTGACTCACAAGATACAGATAATAATATTATAATATCAGAGTTTATTAATCAATTACACTGAGCTTGTCAATCTGACTTTCTGAATCTATTTGAATAATCAATTCTCTGAGAAAAAGATTAATAAGATCTCTTCTAAGTAATTAATGACAGAATCTAAATAATACTGTGACAGCTTCAGTGCAGAGAAAGTAAAGAAGAATTTTAAATATTCTGATTCTTCACTCACTGTAAAGAAATGTTAAAAAAGATTTGATAAAGATCTCTATTTTAAGTGTAGAGTTGATGAACACTATATCAGTGATTGTAAGAAGCTGAAGAAGAGAAGAAACTGAGAAGATATCTTCTCAAAGTTAACTTCTCTTCTGATAAATGTATCTGCAGAAGATAACAAAGAGAAAGAAATAAAGAATTGATAATTCTCATATCTCTGAGTTCATGTTATAATCACAATGTATACTCTGAATGAGAAGATATCAGTGAGATGTCTACTTGACTCTGAGATAGATACTAATTTCATATTCTATTTCTTTTCTTTAATGAAGAATTGAAAGAAGATAGATTCATCAGATTATGTGAAATTCACAGATGAAATGAAATATCACTGTTTTGATATAATTCAAGTAAAGTGTGTAGTCACAGACTCAGAAGAAATCTCTAAGAAGAGTAGTCTGCTTCTTCACACAGTTAATATCATAGATGAGAATGTCATTCTAGATCTTCTGTAATTGAGAGAAAACAATTCTCTCATTGACTGAGTCACTCAGACATGATGATACTGTCTCACTAATGAAGAGACAGTGATAGAGAAATCTAAAGAGTTTCATTGAAAGAATCTTGAGAAAAAGATTGAGTCAATATACTGTGTAGCAGATGATTGAGACTTGAAAATAGATGAAGAAGTCATCACTCTCACTGCAAGATTGACAGCAGTATTTATCATTGAAGACAGATGTACACAATGTCTCTTTACAGATTTTAAGAATATCTTTTTGAAAAGAGAAGCAGTGAAGTTTCCTGATATCAAGATATAATATAAGATTTGTCTTGAAGATGATGTAACAGTGCTGTATAAGTCTCTTTATAACTTATCTGTAAAGAAATTGAATATTCTATGCAAATATCTTGAAGAAGTGCAATCAAAGAACTGAATATATTTATCAAAGAGTTCAGCAGAGATGTCTATACTCTTTATACTCAAGAAGAATAATAGACTATATCTATGCATAGACTACAGAGACCTTAATAAGATGATGATTAAGAATTACTATTCACTATTATTAATTGATAAGATAATCAATCAATTATCTGAAGTAAGAGTGTTCTCAAAGATTGATATACAGAATATCTATCATAGAATCAGAGTTAATAAAGATGATATTTGAAAAATAGCTTTTTATACTAAGTACAGCAATTTTGAATATCTTGTTTTATCTTTTGATCTTTGTAACACTTCAGTCATCTTTCAGATCTATATAAATAAGATACTGCAGAGCCTTGTCAATGTCTTCTGTATAATATATCTGAATGACATTTTAATCTTCTTGAAATCAGAGAAAGAACATGATACTTATATTCAGAAAGTATTAAGTTGCTTAAGACAGCATTAACTTTATACAAACACTGAAAAATACTCATTCTATATATAGAAGATTGATTTCTTAGATTATATTATTGAGATGAATGACATTTCAATGAATAGAAGCTGAGTCTTCATCATTAAGAACTGGCCAGTACTATGAATATATCATGAGATGCAGATATTTCTAGAATTTGTGAATTTCTACAGATAATTCATTTATATATATTCACAGATTACTATCTCTCTTACAGATCTGTTAAAGAGAAGTGTGAAAGACAGAAAAACAGAACTGTTTATTCTCACTCAAGACACTGTGCAGGTGTTTATGAAATTGAAACAAGCTTTTACAGATGTTATAATACTGAATCATTTTAATCTTAACTTATTCAGTCAGTGTGAGACTGATATATCTGAGAATGAGATCTGTGAAATCTTTTCACAGTTGACACTGAAGATCTTTCAATATTGAAAGAATTAGAGAATAATCATCTCTGAGAAAACAGACAATGAATTGTCTGTAAGAGAAGACTTTTTTACAGAGTCTATAAGACACTGTGAATAAAGATCAGTGATCTTCTTCTTCAAGAAATTATCACTCACACAGAGAAGATATGATATTCATAATCAGAAAATATTAGTAATTATTAAATTCTTTAAGATCTGATAACATTATCTTCAGAGTAGTAAGTACTCAGTGTAAGTTCTCACTGATCATGTAAATCTATGTTACTTCTTGATAACAAAGAGCTTGACAGAATGTCAAGCCAGATAAGTGAAGCTGCTTTCAGAGTATGATTTCTATATTCAATACTGTTCAGATTGGCTTAATCTCACTGACATACTGTCTAAACAGCCTGATTATAATATTGTTGATATGGAGAAGAATTTCATAAAAGAATCTCTATCATCACTGCAGAAGAAGCTGGCTGCAGAGAATTGAGATTCTCTAAAGCTCAGAAACAGTGCTGAAGAGACAGCTGTGTGACTCAGTATAGAAGATGAAAGAGAACTCAGATCTCTGCAGAGAACTGACACTGAAGATCATAAGCTTCTCATGTTATATCTTACAATCATTGAATTGATAAAGAATAAAACAGTCTACAATCTTTCAATCTGACTACTTTTAAAATTCATTGATAAGTTATAGAAGAGAGATATCTCTACTACAGCTTGAATTCAGAAGTTGAAGAAGAAAGAATCTGATTTAAACTTGAAAGAGACAGACTCTGAGCAGAGCAGTGCTGCTAAGAAATCAAGTCACTGATAACTAGAAGAATGTGAACTTCTACTGCTGAATAATTCAGTCTTCATTTCTTATAGCAGAGTAGTGTGTCAGAAGTTATTGAGAATTTATTATAATAATCTTCATACAGAGCACTTCAGGTTAGAGAAGACTGAGAAGCTTCTGAAATATAAATATATTTAAGACAAGCTCTGAGCAGATGTCAAAGAGTATATTAAAACTTATAATATCTATCAAAGAATAAAGATCTCACAGTATAAGTAATACAGTGAGTTGATATTACTGTCTGTTTTAAAGAACTCATAACAGAATCTATTAATGAATTTCATAGTTGATCTATCAAAGTCAACAAGAGTCAAAGAATATGACTCAATTTTAGTCATTATTAACTGCTTCATGAAGATGATCAGATATATCTCTACTTATAAAAAGATTAAAGTCTCTGAATTGACTGATCTGTTTTTAGATATCATTATTCATAATCACAGTGCTTCAAAATTATTAATAACAGATTGAGAATCTCTCTTCATCAGTAAATACTGATCAGCTTTTTACTATCATCTTATAATAAGATGTCTTCTCAGTATCACATTTCATTCACAGACTGATGATCAGACTGAACATCAGAATCAGATACTAGAATAGCATCTTCAAGCATTTTATTTATATTATCAGAATGATTGACTCAAACATCTTCTGATCACTGAATTCATATATAATAATACAAAGAATGTAATCTTAAAAATATCTTCTTTCTATACTTATTATGAATATAATTCTTCATTATTCAGTGATGTCACAGACAATGTTTCAAAGAGAAGAATAGACAGTCAGAATATCAGACAGATACAGAGAATGAAGTATCTCTCAGTATCAGAAGTAAAAGCAAGATTGAAACTTTTAAATAAAATTTATAAGAAGACAGTGAAAAGCATTCACTGTATTCAGAAGCAGTAGATAAAATACTATAATTAAAAATATCTTTCAATGAAGTTCTTAATAGAGAATCAAGTACTACTTTCAGCAAAGAATATTAAGATAATAAGACTGTGTAAGAAGCTCAGTGAGTAGTGACTAGAATCTTTCTCAGTAACAAGAGTGATGAGTAAGCAGACATATAAGTTAAAATTACTCACAGAATTGAAATCAATTCATTCTGTTTTTCATATTTTCTATTTAAAGTTCTATAAGTAACACTCTGAAATGAAGCTGTCTCAGCTGAATAATATCAAGATTGAGAGTGATACTGAATATCTTATAAAGAAAATATTAAATAAGTGAATATATTACAGCAAGCTTCAATATCTCATTAAATAGAAAGATTATTCATTATCAAAGAATTCATGAAAATCACTTAAATATTTGAAGAATACTGAGAAAGAGATTACAAGCTATGAGACAGCTAGTAGAGACTGTCTCATTACATATCAGAGATATTGAATAAGAAATACTACTTGAGACTTCTCATTTTTCTTAAAGAATTTTTTAGAGATAATCTTATAATGATGAGCTGATATCTTATAGACTCTGTAGCACTCTTCTTCTATTTTCTCTCAAAGGATTTTTTAGAAGTTTAATGAGACTATACAAGTGTAAAATTTCTGAAGCGGTTAATAAGAAAAGAGAGAGATATTTGAAATTAATAAAAAGATTAATATTAATTAATCTGCAGACTGCTGCTAATCTAATGAGACTGTAGCTCACTGAAAAAGTAAAAAGAGAGAAATCTCAGAATCTACTCATTAATAATCACACTCTTATTAAACTCATTCTTTACTGTTGAAGTCTCTGATATTAGTATCTTTGTCTGTTAAGAAGTTAGTACTGCAGCACTGCAGAAGAGCAGAAGAAATATATAAAATATTAACTTATTAACTTACAAAGTATCTCAGTTATCTGTTTCAATTGAAGTGAGATTCTCTTCAATCAGTGATTAATCTCTATGACACTTTCAACAGTAGTACTGACTGACTTCTTCTTAAGATCAGTCATTCTGAGATATTTTTTCATCTCAGAGACTCATGCTTTCATCTTCTTTTATAGATAAGCAAGACAGATCTCTTCAGTCTTAATGAAATCTATCAATACTTGAAGCTCTGAGACTCTCACTCTGTACTGCTTGAGTATCTAGACTTCTTATCAGAGGTGATACAACATCTTCCTGTGAGATAATACTTACAGAGAGATAGAAGTCATTGTTACAGATGTAACAGAAACAATGAAAGTGAGAGAAGAAGTAAGTGTATAAAATCCCTCTCTTCTTCAGCTGCTTAGCACAGCACAGACAGATGACAGTGCTGATCAGAGACTGTATCAGAGCCTTCTCACAGAGAGAAGACAAAGAAACTGTGAGACTCTGCAGACTCAACTCAGCAGTATTCTGAGCAGGGCTCAGATGTGCTGTGAAAGAGAAACTACAGATTGAGCTTCTCAGAGCCACTGTTTTCAGAACCAAGCTTTTCTCAGATTCCTCTCTGAATGATCACATGAGATCATACATCACTGTATTGGCTGAGAAGGGGGGCGGCATCACAACAGTAATGAGAGAAGCAGAGGGCAGATCAGATGCAGACATATCAGCTGGCAGAAGAAATGATACCTCACTGCACAGCACAGCTACTATCACCGCAGCTGCAAGAGATGCAGAAGAGAAAGAAGATGTAGCAATGAGAGCAGTGCTTCCACAGCTCATTGACACTGCCTCTGCCTTCAACCTGGCTTTCTTTGCAGCCACAGAGGCCGCAGCCGCACCATGAAGATGTTTACTCACTAGAAAATGTCAGAATAAGCCCTCTACTATCCTTCAAGAATGATACTCCTATGCACTCACTATTGCAGATGAGAGGGAGAGGAAGAAAAATGTGTTATAGAGAGAGAGAATCTTTTCAAAAAAATCCTGTTACTACTGTTAGCTTTGCTTCTAAAATACATCACTTTTGCAGGAAATTTCATATATAGAATAGAATATATTAAAAGATCTATAAGTCATTTATTAATTACATTTTTCACACTTTAAATCAATATATAAGAAACTCACTTATCACATGTTTGATTTGAATGAAGATGAGAAAAGAAAGATCTACACAGTCAGTAGAAAAACTCATCTATTTCTTTATATCACACACAGCACATACACTGTCAATCAGTTGATAATCATTGCTATACAATAAAGATAATTTCTAATTCAGTAATCTTGAGAACATAGAGACTATGCTCTTAAAGAGAAGAGTATTGTCATACTCTCAGTCATATCAAGGCCTCACTGCAGTTTCACACAGCTCATTACTTTCATGTGAATGATTTCATTCATTCTACAGATCAATCAAACCAGTTTTCAATCACTCTATGATATTATTCAGATATATCATAGAAAGATCTGATTGATAAATATAAGAACCTCACTTCTATACAAGATCAGCAGATTACTCTTTCTTGACAATGAGACATCACTGAGGTATCACTTCAGCTATTCTTACTTATGAAATGAGAGGAGAGTATTCACTCATTATCTATATAGAATAGCTAGATGCTGACTTCTCATTAAAGAAGTCAGTAATTTGTTTCTTTTTCTTCTACTGAAATATATACAAGAGTTACTGCATGTCTCATATAATCTTCTTAGTATACTAAGTATCATATCTGTGATATCCTTGCAATAACCCTGTAGCCTATGAGCTCACTATTCAAGCAAGATAGTCAAGCTCACTTATACAGCTTCTCAAACAACTACCTCTACATGACGCCGCTAACTAGTCATCACTTCGGTTCCGTCATGTTACAATATCAAAGCTGATAATTCATCTGCACTGAGTTCCTGCTCATATGAATATTCATGACAATGAATTGACTGATTCAGCTGTAAAAAAGAGTGTAGAATTAAGCAGATCTATTCAAAAAATTGTGTTCTGATCTTTTATAAAGAGAAAAATAAAAGAATCTTGTTTAAACAAGTAAAATGAAAGCTGATAAAAACAAAAGAAGAGTATACATTATTCAAGATTTGAAACAAAACCCAAGTGAAAATCTTGTTCAATTAAATGTAAAAAGAAAATATTCTCATGTATAATACAGCTGAAACTAGAACATGGCTATTTTAAATCTTATATACAAAGATTTGATGATAGATTTGTCTCAATAGAATGCTCATTCTGCAATGCAAATGAGAATTCTGAGTATATTATAATACACTGTACATTATACAATAGTCTCAGAGTCAGATTGAAAGAGAAGTATAATCTAAATCAATTAAATATGAGATTCTTATTCTCAACTGAGACAGGAATTAAATACTTAACAGACTTTCTATCAGAAACTTAAGCAGCTATAAGAAAATGACTAAATTCAGAATTATCTGAATATGAAGAGAAGAAAATCAATCAGATATAGTCTGTTAAAACAGCTATACACTATCTTTTAATAATTTGTTTTGTTACAGTCTCTCTTTACTTTATCTTTTTCTTTAAACTTCTTTCTATCTATCTATTTAATGTGTCTATCTTTAAGACTGTGTTCTTTTTCTCTTTTCTGTTGTCATGATATTGTCAAATGATTTCAAAGTATCAGAAGATGTTAAAACACTGCAATTTGTAAACAGTTTTTGTATTCTGAGCTGAAATTTTCTGATTTTGCATATCTGAAATTGATGAATGTATAATAGTTAACTTTACAGATATAGAAAAAACCCTGAGAACTAAAAGTTCTCAGGTAGATGTCATAGTCTCTGACTGCATACATCTATAATTGAAGAATAATAATAATAATAATAATAATGAAGAGCTCATATCAAAATGTATAGCAGATTCAGAAATCTCATATTTCTGCTGAGATAGAGATGTATATACTTTAGAGAATGATATGAAGTTTCTCTCAGAGAATGAGATCAGATTAATCTCAGTACAGATGTATGAGATTATATTAATTCATTAATAAAGCTCAACTGATTCAAACTTATAATTAGATAAAGTGATTTGAATTGTAATATAACAGAACTGAAGCAGTGACTAGTCAGTAGTATTATGTAGAGATAGTTATTGAGAAGTTATATAAGTAAGCTTGACTATCTTGCTTAAATAGTGAGCTTGTAGACTACAGAGTTATTGCAAGAATATCACAGATATAATACTTAGTATACTAAGAAGATTGTATGAGAAATGTAGTAACTCTTATATATATTTCAGTAGAAGAAAAATGAATCACTGACTTCTTTAATAAGAAGCCAGCATCTAGCTATTCTATATAGATAATGAGTAAATATTCTTCTTTCATTTCATGAGTAAGAATAGCTAAAGTGATACCTCAGCAGCATCTCACTGTTAAGAAAGAGTAATCTGCTAACCTTATATAGAAGCAGAGTTCTCATATTCATCAATCAGATCTTTCTATGATATATCCGAATGATGTCATAGAGTGGTTGGAAACCGGTTTGAACAGCCTGTGAGATGAATGGAATCATCCGCATGAAAGCAATGAGCCGTGTGAAACCGCAACAGGGCCTTGACGCGGCCGGGAGTGTGATATTAAGAATATTCTTAATCTCTCACTTAAGTTTATTATCTTCTTCTATGATCTCTGATAACTGTCAATCAGAAGTCAGTTGAGAAGAGAACAGATCAATAATAGTATAGCAGAGTAAGCTTATATAAAAGACACTATAAATCTCTGATAATATGTTAAGATAATAATTGTAACTGTCTAGAACTTCTATTATCTTATATTTAACATAGCAGTAATTCAGTGTATAAGATGAGTATATGATTTATATATTCTTAAAATTCAATCATATCAGATCTTCTATCTCATATTACTCAGTAAAATCTTAGTAAACATTAGTTTAATCTTCTTAATTCTGTTTAGTACTCACTATAAAGGCTTCTGCTTAATTACAAGCATCTCAGAGCTTTGTTACTATATTATCAGTGATCTGAATCAGACTGTGAGAATTTAGTGTGAAATGTATAATCTCTAGAAGATTCAATATCTTTATATAATATTTATATATGAGAAAGAACAGACTTACATCTATTGAAACAGCATTTCAGTCATTGATATTGACTTCAGTATGCAGAAGAAAATTATATCAATCATCTTATAAGTAATTACAGAACTTATAAAGATAATTCTTTATAGTCTAAATTATCTATTCTGATACATTATCAGTCTCAGAGTGATAGACAGTTAATAAACAGTGTATAATCTTGAGAACTTGACAGATTCTTGTTCAGAGAGCACTTATAAATTGACAGTCTTAATTTAATACTATATATCTCAGTAATTCATATATTTAATATAATAAACTCTGTAGAAAAGCTTCAGCAACTTGTTCAGTATTTATCTTATTATAAGATTTCAATATTATATTCTTACTCAATCAGTTCATAATGATCAGAACATTTCTATAATTCTTACTCTTAGAGAGATTAATAGTGAAGTTAATTACTATATCTTATTAGATTCTATTAGAGATATTAAGCAGTTTCAGCAGATCTTTTCTACAGTTCTTTTATAAGATAATAAAGAAATAACAGTTACAGTTTCAGATAAAATATCTGATGCTGTTCAATATCTCAGACTAGTAGAACTGTTAAGAGATTATTCAATACAGTTATTTATAATCTGAATAGCTAGTTATATAAGAATCATGCATCTCTTGTATTATCTGAGTGTACAAGAATTCAGAATGAGAGACTCAGCATCATTCACAGAATCATAGAGTATTATTATCATTAATTAAGTATTCTGAGATATCAGTTCTTATATATAGTTCTGAAGAGAATCAGAGTGCTTCTTAACATACTACTTCAGTAAGTACTTGAAGAAGTTCATCAGTTTGAGCTGTTATATACCACAATTTATTCAGTGTAGAAGAAGTGAAGATATTGATATCAGTATTAGTTCAGAGAGAGAGTATTCTAATCAGAGAAGTATGTATAGTATCATGAGTTATTTCATCTTAATCAATCAATATCTTTAGATTTAAGAGCTGATGTTCTCAGTTCATTCAACAGATATCTGTTACATCAGAAGGTATATCTTACTCTTATTATAAGAGAGTATCTATCATTGAGTTCTGACTGTCAGAACAGTAGTGTATTGTAAAATAAAAGCAGCTTAAGAACTCAGATCATCATATCTGTTATTCAGTGAGTTTACAAGTAGTATGTAAGAAATCCTGCTTCTCGCGGATTCTTTACCTCTATTTCTATCTCTCACATAATCAATAGGGTTAGCGGCTCTTGGCTACACACAACTATATAGACTGGAGTTCATGAATACTATTTATAACTCAGCTTGAATACTATTATATATTTAATTTTCATATTTTATCTTTCTATTATGAATACTTCTAGTAGTTAATAGTACATATTATATCAAGCTGCAAACATCTGAATAATTGTCTGTAAGTACTTATTCTTACATTTCAAGCTCTGTCAGTTAGCAACTGTCTGTTATAACTGAAAGAACTAGAAACTTATATACTTTAATCTCTATGAACTCTACTGCAGACACTCAGAAGCAGTCATCTGAATTATGAATAATCTCTATAAAAGAAGTCTCAGAGAACTTATTAATTACTCACAGAATATCATTCTCTACATCTGTAATAGAGAAATTCTTTAAACTAATGAATAAATCAATCTCAGTGAAAAATATTCTGAAGTATCTTCTATAAGATTAAGCTATTTTTCTATAAGAAAGGCTTACTATCTGTAAACACTCTTAAACTGAGTCTCTAAACATAATCTTCAGAGATATCTAT